TCACTGGCTAGACTACCACGCCGGCCGGGAAGACGAGAGCAAAGCGCTCTTTGTGGGAAACGCGCTCGTGAAGGGATACAAGGCGTTCCTTGACGTAAAGCAGAAGGTCTGTCTGACGCCAGCGCAACTGATTGTGACTGGCAACTACCTGACGACCCTCCTCTCTACACGTAGTACCCACTTTTGAATCGATGTGTGTAGCAGAGCCGGCGGAATTGTCGAGAACGCATGAGAAGGAGGGGAGGCAAGTTGGGTGCCTGCCATCTGTGTTGCAACTTAGATGCAGATTCGTAAGATGGGATGGCGGCAAGACACAGAGACGCACAAAGAGAATCAGAGAGGTGCAAAGAGAGAGGCACACAGAGAGAGGTGACAGAGTCAGTTAGACAGGCAGACAGGCAGGCAGACAGACAGACAGACACACAGACACAGACACAGGCACAGACAGAAAAGGGTACTTGGCCCTTTCTACTCACCCAAGGTATTGCTACTGTCTCGCTACAACCCCTCCAACACCCCCTGAACAAAAAAAAAACTATTGACAGGGCTGGCGAGAGTACGTGGAGGAGCCTGGACCTCCCCTGGTCAATCCCGTCGTTGTTCCAAGCGGGTGCGCCGAGCACGCCAACATCTACGCAATCTATGCCGTCGACTCGAGGCAGGCGAGTAGCCGGCAGAACACGCAATTGGTTTCATGATTTTATCGTCCACGATGGTGAGTTTTTCACGGAGAATATTAAGCTGCAGTTAGTTCGGCTTGGCCACTCCGACGTCCCATCATTGTTAGAACCTCTGTTTGTGTACTGTGCGTAAGTTTTCCCCCACCTGCTTGTATTTGGCGTGCGATCGTTGCAGGCGGTAATGTTCCCTAAGGAACCACCCACCTCTCGCCTTGGCAGAGTGCAAACTTTTCAGACAGCAGTACCATGATGACCTGTCGCCCCCAAACAGTTCTTCTGCAGCGAGGACCGTACCCAAAAATCTGCGTTTGATCCATGTTTGGCGGTACCTTTCCACGCTTTTTCTACAGGGTAGAGGCGGAGAGTGGCGAGCCTCAGCATCGTTCTTACTCCCTAGTGGGTGGTTTTCCCTGCTCTGCATTCTTTGCATTTTAGGTTTTGAACGCTTTGCTGATGGAGCCCCGGTTTCTGAGCATGACACCCGACACGGGTCTGGTGGACTTGACCGCCGAGGAAACGGGACGGTTCGTCCGGACTCTCGCAAGGTCGATTCAAGCACAATAGCAATTGTACCCCCGTGCAAAAAAACTCACTATAATAAAATCATGTGACTAGGGGGGTGCGCAGAGATGGTTTCAAATATCTTCTCATACGAAAAGGGAACTAACGATCGCAGCTATTTAGTAGCTGCTTGGGGTGTCCACGACACAGATGAGACACACCCGAGGTGTCGGTGGTGGTGGTGGAGGTGGTGGTGGTGGTTCGACGTTTCTCGTGGACAACTCACGAACCAAAATCAAGGCACTCCGATGCATGTTGCTGTCGTTTCCAATCGTGTTTCGTCCCGCCACCCAGACATCAAGCGAGCGTTGAAGGCAAGAGCGATCTCGAAAGCGCGGCGTTCTTGTTGGTAACAGGCGTTTGGGCTCCCGGGGGCTTGATTGAGAGTCCCGTGCTCTACACCAAAGAGGACGGAACCAAGGTAAATTGACGACTTTCCTGCCCGACACCTACCGATGTATGGCATCCCTCTCGACTACGGCATCGACGTCGTTTGTAACGTCAAACGTGTGGTTACTATGTACTTGTACAAGACACAGCATCGACATTGCCGATGAGGGAAATACTTCGTGGAGACAACATCTCCTGACAGAACAAGCGACCGCGTCGCACACTGTCTCCATGTCACCTGCAGGTTTCCGCTATTTTTTTCTTTTCCGCATTTTGGCCCAACCTGCGACTTCTTGTCGTCTTGATCTATGTATATGGGAAACGGCGACGAACCGAACAGCTCCTCGTACCTGAAAAGAGGACAATTTTGAACTTGCTTTCAGAAATCCCGCTGAACCTCAACACCGTTGCCCCCGAAGCGCAACCTGCCCAACCACCCCCCATCGCGGAGCAGGTGACAGACTACCCGCGCTCGTTGGCGCTTTGGGCCGGCACAACGGACGGCGCCCGCCTCGACGACGACGACGCCGAGCGTCAACAGTACTGGGCGTCCTTTCGGCAGGCCATCCGGCAGGCCGAACACCGCCTGGGGCAGCAGCAAGAACAAAGAGATGCCTTCGTCCAAGCGACAGAACAAGAAGAAGAAGCACAACGAGCAGATGACGGTTTTGGTGACGTCACTACAGCCGCCCGCCCCGTCAGCGAGTGCCGATCGCAGGCGAGATACGGGTCCGGACCGGATATGGTCAGGATGGGGAAGGAGTACACTGCGGGCGAGCTCCTGCAGATCGTGCCTCAAGTCTTTGGGGTCCGTCCTGCGGCCGGGTCGCAGGAGCTGTGACTCGACCGACGCTACTCAAAAGTCATCACGGATTTCTATCTAAAAATAGAGATGAAAATGTGTTTAGAACAGGGACATACAACCCGTTCGAGATAGTGCCACAGGCGAAAGGGGCGTGTTTTGAACTCTTCGCAGGCTGTGAGGAAGAACGTTTCGTCGCCCGAGACGACATCCTATGACCGGGTCGTTGGAGCTGTGACTCGAAAAAGCGTAAATGTCATCACGGGTTTCTATCTACGGATGGATAGAGATGAGAGGTGTATTTGTGAACAAACACATATTGTCACTCGCAGACAACAGCCCGTTCGAGATAGTTAGTGCCATTGCTGTAGTGAAAGGGATGTGTTGCGTTCGCGTTCTGCGAGGAAGAAAAGTTATATCTTGCACACCATCCTACTGCCGGGTCGCAGGAGCTGCTCGAAAAACGGTTGAATAAGTATCACGTGTTTCTATCTGTGGGTAGAGGAGGAAACGTACTTACAACATATACATACATACCATCACTGAAATAATGCCCGTTCAAGGTACACCCAGCAGTGTGGTCGGTGCATTGTGAAGTCTTCGCAGTCAGGGAGGAAGTTTGTTTTGTTTTCCTACAGTACACGTTTGTGGGGATTCTGCGTCTGGGAGGGGGGAAGTGGCATGGTCGGGCGCAAACCAGGCATTGAATACACCCCGGCCTGTGCATATGTAGTAGGGGGACAAGGGTAGATAGGATCACGCGAGTGTTTTTATGTCTTGATTTCTCGATTGTTTTGCTTGCTGAATTGGGCCTCGCTTGTTGGGCAGGGGCGGTGGGCACTTTGTATCGATCCCCTTTTTGGCTCGTGGCTTGCTGAGGGAGACGATATTCACGCCTGATATAGTAGCAGGGTCACATGCACGAAGCGGGGTCACAGATAGATGTCGAATACAAACATGTACAACAAGAGGGTACACAGCACCGTGTGATCAAAGGGGAAGGTCTCAAGTCCTAAGTGGACACAACGATTGGGGTGACGACACCTTGGGGAGGTGGTGGTGTCACGACGAAATGTGTAATCTCACCTCACTCTTGGCAACCGCAACGACTGCTTCAACGTGGACCTCTCCCGACACAAAATGGACTGCGACTAAGACACCGCCGCCCTGGCCGCATGCCCGGAGAGAGAAAAAATCGGTGCACGTTGAACAGGCACACAAAACGAGTATATTACATGAACATATGCCACCCTGCAGGACAAGGAAGCACGGTCGACAAAAAGCAACTGGCACCAGCACCCCCCCACCCCCAAAAGAGACAAGCCGCCAAGGAACCCGTAAAAAGATGTCACATCAAGAACATGTACAGACGGAAGTTCCCCATCTAGGCGGGACAGAAAGCCACACAGCAACGGACCGAAGACACACACAAGAAAAAGGGGGGTTAACCCCGCCACTAGAATAATAGCGCAACACGCGTTGCCGACGAAGGACCAATTCGACCGAGAAACGAATCCCCTGGGTCACCAGCAACAAGGCGGCACTTTTTGAAGGCAAGCAAAAAAAAAAGATGAGGTTGGACATGCAGCCTGCCCAAAAAGTCTCCAACATATCTAAAATTACTTCACGACTTATTTTAAAGGCAGAATGCAACAATGTTCAGTATCAAGATGTCAAGACGACAACAACGACGACGACGACGACCACCACGTATTTACCCAGCGCCTACTCCCATCTGAAACGCGCGCCTGGTAATAATGTTCTCGAAAGACACCATCCGCGTGGCAAGACACCTCTCGGCCGGTTCGGCGCAAAGCCTAAATCGCGCTGGACATTTACAGCATCGTGATGGCCACCACATCATCTGTTCCCGTCGAAACGCACCCCCCCCCCTCCCCCCCTCCGGTTCCCTGCAAGCACACCACCACCAACCAACCAATACCAAAGAAGCGGCGGACGCCAAACCACATCCACTACAGCACAAACCGAGATACCGAATACCCGTTACGGGGAGAATTATGTTACGCGTGAGATGAAACAGGGAAGGGCAAGCTGCGGGCTCCATACTATGACCAAACCAAAGAAGGGGGACGATATCTACATGAAACCGGGCCTGCTTCGACTTTGGTTTTTGGGGGTGGCCACCGGCATCGCAAGTCAGAAAAAAAAAGAAGAAGCAATCTGGACCTGGAAAGCCGCCGAACAGCGCTAGCAACACACAACGCCCAGCCCCAAATATAACAAACAATAGGCTAGGATGAAAGTACCAACATTTGAACGAAAACGGCGGCACCAGCCAAACGGAAGGGGCATCAGCGCCGACAAAGGGACAAATACCGTAGGTGACGCAAGAAAACACACACCCTCGATCGAATTGCGACTACTCCACGGAGTGAAACGATGCGTTTTCGAAAAAAACGCTCGACGAGACGGTTCCAACGCCGACACTTGTGCTGTGCAGCAATCGGGCTTTTGAAAACCAGTCGAGGGTGCGGTATCTTCCGTCATCTACGGTACGTCTTCATGGCGGAGTTCCACGGTAGAGAGCGCCATGTCAACCAAAGGCAACGAACCACAGTGGAAAGGGCTGGGTTTCACACCAGGGTACCGTATCAGTTAAAGGGGGACGAAAACACCAAGCAACAAAACCCCGTATACACTACTGCAATAAACCCAATTACTCGGAGCGTCACCGACACACCTCATCCCTCCGACTATCGCCTGGCGTTCAGGTCGGAGGGCGGTCGACATCAAGCCAGACGCTTGGGAGTAGGGGGAGAATAGACAACAACCGCGCACCAGCAACAATAACAACAATATAAAGAAACGAACTTAAGCGCCCCATATGCTAGAACGACAACGCTTCTTGGCGCCTGAGAGAGCTATGCCAATAAACAACACGGTACAGACAACAAGGCAAATGACCCTGGGAGAGACAACCCAAGCTCCTCATACCCGACCTTGGGAAAAATCCGTTGGAACTTACGCACCCATAAGACACGCAACCGGTTCTGGGGCATCGCTTACTCGCCACCGCTACCGCCCGTTCCAGCGAGGACTTGGAAACAGTGATCGCCTAGCCTCGCGCGTTCCTCATCTCCCGCGCCTTTCAACCTTTCCCGCGCCTGCAGTTGGACGAGTCCGCGGATTAGGAAATGGTATTATTTTTTCTGTTGTCATCTTATTTTTCTGAACGTCGGTCTTTGCACCCTTTGGTACAATACATGTACAGGGCAACAACAACAAAAATATTTTCCGGGCACCGAGCATTGGATTCTCACTGAGGATCGTGGGGACTGGGCACTGCTTCTGTCCCCAGTGTTACTGTGACCTCGGGATCGTTGGGGGGAGGGGGGAATAAATTAACTCTTGAGTCTATTGCGTACGCTGTGGACTACAGGGCTCCCCGCCCTCCTGTTCCTGGGATGGACAACACCAAGTGGTTGGCCCAATATCTGCAATAAGGGTCTGCGTTCCTAGCAAATACGAGGTCCTTCAGAGGACAGAATAAAGAGCAGACGCCAACACACACTGATTAGCGCGGATGATGCAACAGCAAAAAAACATACACACGCAGGGCCGCGGTCAGCCGAGGCGTCCGGAATACAGGGGCAATAACAGCAGGCTCACCGTCCACAGGCGGAGGTCGAGAAAGTCATTCGCGGCTTCGAAAACCCTCCAGTCCGCCCTGTCGTACGACACCGCTTTCTCCTTCGCCTTATCGTGCCACACCTGTTTCGATTCGTGAGACCCAAGGGATGGACGGCGGGATAAGTGGACGTTCTGGCTCTTGGAGGGCGGTGGATTTCGTACCGTTTCGTACGAGCACGCTCCCGGTGGGTCGTGAAGCCAAGGGTTGCTTACGTTTAGCAGTGGTGACATCGAGATCTCTGGCTCCTGGGGGCGGCGTATTTGGTATCGTTCCGTACGGGCATGCTACCGGTGGGTGCAAGATCTGGTCGTGAGACCGAAGGGGTGGTGGGGTGGATAGAGGTACTGGCTCTTGGGGACGGCGGATTTCGTACCGTTTCATACGAGCATGCTACCGCCGGGTGCAAGACCTCGTCGTGATACCAAGGGTTGCTTGGCTCGAAGATGTGACGTGGTAGAGGTCCTGACTCTTGCGGGCGGTGGATTTTCGAACCGTTTCGTTAGAAAGAGGCCGACGCTGCACCGGCGGAGTTGTTCAGTCGGTTTCATGACCTCACGAATTGAGCCTCCTGCAAAACTTGCCGAAAACAGCGGGAGGCGTTGTCCCTTTCGTCCCTGGTGTCACGCTCATGATGGAGGCCCCCGTTGGGCGGGTGTACGCATGCACACGTGACTCGGTATCACATATTGGTTAACACTCACTTTCGGGCAACCGGAGTCAACACGCGACGGGGTCTACTCCCTCTCAGCGCGTATCACCCGTTCTCTCTCTCCCTCTCTCTCTGTCTGTCTCTCTCTCTCTCTCTGTGTGTCTGTTTGTCTGTTTGTCTGTCTGTCTGTCTGTCTGCCTGTCTGTCTGTCTGTCTTGTCTCTGTCTCTCAATCCATCTCTCAACGCATCTCTTCTTCTCCCTCTCTCGCTTCTTCAATCTCGACGCCGTGCCCCTCTCGCCAGGGCACCGACACCAAGCTCCAAAACCGTCCCCAAACAACCACACATTACGCACTCTTTCTTATCTCTCCCTCTTTCTTGCTCGCTCACCGTTATTGGCCTCGGGATCTTGAGTCGGTGCTGCGGCATCTCGCTCTCCTTCTTCCCGAGCGTCAGGAACAGCAGGCAGAGCGACTCCTCCATGCGCTCCGTCACCCCCACCCACAGCGCCCCTTCCATCCTCCGAATCGCGGCGTCAGCGGTTCGCTCGAAATACGCCTATTATACCAACGAGCGGTCGAGCCGGGCCGAGATGAGAGAGGAGGACTTTCAACAAGGACGCGGCGGGATTTCCCAGGGATAAATGGGAAGGAAGCGCATCACATGGAGAGACGGTTCTGGTGGGGATAAGGCAGCGACTGCGGAGCCCTCAAGTCGCTGGAAGAACGTCAGCCGTATGTCCCGATTCGCTGCCATTATTCTATCGTTGGCATCCCCCCCCCAAAAACACTGAAAAGCCACATCTTGAACAACAGCACAGAGTGGTGTCGTGAGGGACGTAGCTGGTGGAGGGGGGGGTCATCCAGAAATGGGGAACCAAACACCATCATCACCCGCAGCCCGTCATGGCGTTTATGTGTCGTTCGCCGAAATCTACAGCAAAACCCCGACGTGTCATAGCAGTCAACGCTGCCGCGAAGCGGGTACCCCTCACCGCCCACACGTCCGCGTCCTGGCCGGAAGCCTTGATGGCTTTGCACGTCCCCCCAACATCGGTGTCGTCAACCCTCCATCGGTTGAACTCCGGGTCGGGTCTGATGCAAGGGTGGCCTTCTGCCGCCCCGTAGGACAACCAGCGTGCCTGCCTCGCCGGCCAATAGAGACGGGTTACCGTTCGAAACAAGAATAAACGGTGTCAATAGAGATGGGTACCGCAAAAAAAAAAAGAGGAAACGGTGTCACTACAAACGGGGCACCGTTCGAAACAAAAAATAAGGTGTTTCGCGGTGCGTGGAGACCCATGTTGCAGGCGTTTTTCGGTACTAAATCCTCTCCGGTTATCGGTTAGTGTTGTTTCCCATCCGATGTCCATGTCTACTCGTCAATGACCAACGGTCACAGGACAGCGTGGCTCCTCGTACAATAGCGACAAAGTACAACGCACACAAGAAGAAACAGCGCCGCGTTGCTCGTTCTTTACCACCCAAGGAAAGTGCACAGAAACAGAGCAGCAGGAAAGACCGAGACCCGTAAAGAGAAACGAAACAAAACCACCCGCGAAGACCCGCACACTCCCCCGAACAGACCGAGTTAGGAACCCGGCCGAGATCCGTGGAAAAAACGAAACGGAACAAAACCTCGGGCAGAACCAGCATACCCGAACAGACCGAGTTAGGAACCCGGCCGAGATCCGTGGAAAAAACGAAACGGAACAAAATCTCGCGCAGAACCAGCATACCCGACCAGACCAAGGGAGGGAGACTCCCAAAAAAAAACATACTACCTCGAAGTTCCTGTAGACCTTGTCGAACTGTTTGGAACCGACCCACATCTCCGGGTCTCGGCAGAAATTGTACTGCTCGGTATCTACCCCGCTTCCATTGACTCTAGCGAGGGTCGCTGCTTCTTGGTCGATCGTTCCGTCTGGGCGGTGACCAGCACCAGCACCAGCACCAGCATCAGCACCAGCAACAAGACCAGCACCGGCAACAGCAAACAAACAAGAGTCAGTGGGAGCTAGCTCACCACAACGTTCTGGCCAACCGCAACAAAAGAAACCACCAAGAGCAGGTGCCTGCTCACGATAACATCTTGGTCAACCGCACCATCAGCAACAAACAACACGACAGGGACGCCCACGATAACCCCCTACACTGCTGTAGCCGAGCGGAACACAATGCGCGCACGTCCGGTTAGACACCGCGCACACCCGCAAAACAGCTCTCTCGAGAGGGCAACTGTACACCCACGTGCAACGTTCCTCCCAGGTACGATTCGTTTCTGCGGCCGCTGCATTTTCCCAGCTCGACCGACGGTGAAGCCTAAGTTTTCCCTGCTAGGTGTAACAGGGATTATTGACGACGAAACCGTACCTGAGAGGGTGCTTTCGGCTTGCCCCAACCATGAGAAATAGATATGCCACGCAGCAGTACGGCTGAACAGAAACACCGGATTGAAAAGGGTGTCGTCGGCTTGTCCCTAGCCTCTCATAGACTCAACACGTCAGCGCCACACTCACCGTCGCTGATGTGCTTGCCGAACCTGCAGACGGACTCGAAGAAAATGGAGGCCTTGTGCAGGAGGGGGTTTCGTATGGTGATGAGCACCCTCGGTGTCTTCGTCGGCGGGATGCCGATGGTGTCGGTTACGTTTGCTCTGTTGTGGGAGAACATTAACTGTCGAAAGACGGCGGAGAGCAAGGTTTGGGGGGGGAAACGCAGAGTTGGCGGGAGGGTGTGTGTGTGTGAGAGAGAGAAACTATGTGTTAACGTCTAGTCCCCTGTCACCTCTCTCGGCTGCGCGCAGCGGTAGGAGAGGTCAGCCTTTACGCCTGTCAGTGTGTATTAACGTCTGTCTTTCTGTCTGTCTGTCTGTCTGTCTGTCTGTCTCTTCTCTCTCTCTTCAAACAAATCAAAACTTCCGCACAGACACAAGACACGCACGGGCCCACACCCTTGCCTCTCTCTCTTCTTGGTATCTCCCTTCCTCTATCTCTCTCTCTCCCTGCCCCTCTGTGTCGGCGGGGATGCAGACCGACGGCAGTAGTCGAGCGTACGTTCGTCGCTAAACATCTCGACGGACTGAGCACGAGCCGAGCGGAAGCAGATGTCGCAGATCCCGCCCAAGTGAGGTTAACTGAGTATTCCAGTGTCCGAGCGAAACATACTTTGAAACGCGGTCTAAACGAGTCTAAACGAGTTTAAAGGGGTCGTCCAGTGCCCAGGCGCAAACGAGTCTTGCTGGTCTAAATGAGTCTAAACTAGTTCTCCATTGCCCAAGTGGAGGCTTACAAATCGGCCCCATGTCGTCGTGATGGTGCTCAAAGATCTAAAATTGCACGAGCCCATCCATGAACGAGCGACCGGACTGCCTCGCTCCAGGAAGCGTTATTATTTCTCAATGTGGCCGCGCGGGCGCCTCTTGCGAGTTCTCCCGGGGGCTCCAGCTGTATCTCAGCAACGTTTCTTCGTTGGCAAGACCTAACAACAAACAACTCACGAGAGCTCCGCCGGCCGATACGAAAACCAAAAAAAAAACAAACATGAAACGCAAGGGTCCCATGCAGCTTCCAGCGCCCTACTTTTCAATGCCTGCAACCTCAAAATCATCAAGCTTCCGCTTGGCTTGCAGCAAGGCACCTGAAACAAAGCGAGCAACAATTGTGTAGGAAGCCAACGCGAACACCCACCTGTCCAACAAAACGTTTGACTTTACATTTAGGCACACAGTTTGCACACCGAAAAACAAAAAAAACAGTTTCATTTTCGGATGCCACACAAGCGCCATGCTTGGGCCGTTCAATCTACGTGTCGATGAGACGGTGGTGGGCAAATGAATGCGGCACTTTCTTTTCCAATCAAGACGGTCTGCCTGTCTGAACGTGCTTGATATTGTGGTGGCGTTATGTACGCGTACCTGAAACGGCTGCCACCACTCCGAGTCGTGTCCCTGGAGCTGGCTCACTAGCAGCCCCTTGGAGGGATGCGAGGTGGGCACGACTGCCGTCCTTGGGAACACGTTGGCCAAGAGAGAACTGCCGCGAGTCAATCGACAAATTAGACATGAGATACATAGCAAATTACAGATACCCAACAGGCACGGGGGGGGGGGGGAGGGGGGCGCGTTTAGAGCACGCGTACAGAGAGGGAGAAGGAGAGAGAAAGCAGGGGGGAGGCCACTGCGTAACAGCGTGTGTGCCATGTCCACGGGTGATCAATCGAGGCCCAGGAATCGAGACCAGGGGCAAAGTGAAAAAAAGAGAGGGCGGCAAATCAAAAACAAGACAACAAGGGTTCATTTTCTTTTGCTTTTTTGTTTTTTTTGCATTCAGATTGGCAAAAAAGAAAAAAGATGGCGCGCGACGTACACACCCAAACACCAGAAAGGGGGCCGTTTGAAAGCAAGGCCTGCCCAAGAGACAAAGGCAGACGCAGGCAACAACGACAATAACAAGGTCAACCAATTTTGACCCCACACGGCGAAGGGAGTACGTGACGTGCCTGAGAGACGTCCCCGAAGTCTTGTGGATGTGGCTGAAGAACACCAGGTCTTGTTCTGGCCGATACAAGGGTATCTCCGACCACCGCCGATCGATATCCTGTCGGTGTCGACGTCGCCATTTAAGGGCAAGAAAAAGTTAGTCTTGAACGTCGCTTCGTTGAAGTTAAGCACCAAGTTTGACAAGGCAGTGAGGTTTGAAGGGGGCTCCGGGGAAAAAATCCGGAGGGATTCGTAGGTGTATTTATTGAATCAAATATCGTAATGTGTCGAATATCGTACCGCACTGACAGTTGTGAAATGTATTCGACATCGATAACGATACCGATATGTCGATACTGTACGACGATATACCGTTGTATTCGATGCCATACATGCAATACTAGTCGCGTCGTTAGAAACGTGGCGATGCAACAGACTCGAGAAGCTGGGTTTCGATCTACAAGGGGGGTGCGCAGAATCAAGTCGGCAGACCTACAGTACCCTCCGCTCTCCCCGAATTTTGGGGCCAAAAACGGGGCACATCTACTTATACCCTGGTGCGCCGTGGGCATATCAGGCCAGACGACGGCTGTGCCAAAAAAAAAAACGTTCATATCCCTGCTTTGCATGGTCCTGTAGCAAGTGCACAAGCCGGGGTGCTGAAGATGGTGTGCTGCACGGCCATGCTCAAACAGGGCCGGGGTGGTGGTTGGTTTTAGCGTGCTACCCTAAATACATTCGTTTCGCGTGACGACCGCGGGAGGAGAACCGAACCCCCATATGGTGTCATGTTCAAACACCAATAAATGAACTGGTGTACGGCGGCCGGTGGAATAATGGTACCATAAAACTCGTTCTCTCACGTTGGCGGGTGCACGAGCGCTTCGGTTGAGCCCGGCCATCTCCAAGCTATCGGCATACGAGGTCTCCGGAGACTGTTCCTCCTCCCCTGCAAACGCACGTGAGAAGCAAGTGCATGCAGGCGGGCGGGCGAAGCGGCTTCACGGGGGGTTGTTGGTTGAGCGGAGGCCGGGGGGGGGGGGGGGGGGGGGCCACCCTTTTTTTTTTCCGCCCTTAGGGGTTTGCCCCCCGCCCCCCCCCCCCCGGGGGGGGGGAAAATTTTTCCCCCAGGACCCAAAAAAAGGGGCCAACCTTTCTTTCCTTTTTTTCCAAAGGGGTTCCAAAAAAGTTTTTCCCCCGTTTTTTTTTCCATTAAAAACCCTTTTCCCCTTTTTTACCCCCTTTTTTTTCCCCCAAAAAAGCCCCCCTTTTTCCCGGGGTTTTCCCAAAAAATTTTTTTTTACTTTTTTTTTTTTTAAGGAAACGGGGGGGGGGGGGGGGGGTACCCAAAACCGGGGGGCCCGAATTCTTTAAACCTTTAACCCCCCCCCCCCAAAAAACGGGGGGGGGAAACCCGGGTTTTTCCCCGGGAAAGGTTTTTC